TACAACCTGGAATTGGGCACAGAGCTGAGCTCAACCCCAGAAATGGGATACTGCTGTCCCAAGTGGCATTTTAACCATTGTGCCCTAGCTTAGTAGCTTGGATATATTAAAGGTGATTTCATATTAGTAGGAGAAAGGATAAAGACTGAATGGATAAATAGGTGATACAAAGGAACAAATCGTAAAAGAGGAGCACAAGTTCTAAAAACAAATCAGTTCAGGGCCCTGCGCGATGGTGCAGTGGTTAAGGTCCTTGCCTTGCACGCCCAGGATCCCATATGGGCGCTGGTTCTAATCCCGGCAGACCCACTTCCCATCCAGCTCCCTGCCTGTGGTCCGGGAAGGCAGTCGAGGACGGCCCAAAGCTTTGGGAACCTGCACCCGCGTGGGAGACCCGGAAGAGCTCCTGGCTTCGGACCGGCATAGCATCGGCCGTTGCGCTCGTGAATCATTGGAGGAAGATCTTCCTCTGTCTCTCCTCTCTGTATATCCACCTTTCCAATAAAAATAAAATAAATCTTTAAAAAAAAATCAGTTCAGTTACAGTAGTAATCAAATAAATGTAAATAGGACATCAATGACATCTATTTCAAGTTGACCAAATCTAACCCCAAAATATTAGCTGGAGGCAGACTCTTAGAGGCTCACCCACCAGTGCCAACCAGAGGACTGTCCTGTTCTACCACACATGGAAGATGGGAGTAGGCCTGGTCAGCCTTGTTCAGGGCTTCTTAAGCAATAACTATCCAATCAACTAAGAGCTTGGGCACATGATGTGAATCATTCAATCAACCAAGCTTACATCAGTGCACAACACAAATGACCCAATCAACTGTAGTGGCGGAACAAAGATACCCAGTTTAAGCATCATGCACCTATACAATCAGTAACAGTCGCATCTCAGCTAGTAGCAAACAACAGAACCGGGCAAACAGGTCATTCCAATTCCATTTACAGAAAACAATTAGGGTTAATCAGTTTAGGGCCTGAGCTGTAGAAGAAAAAACGAGATTTCATCCCAGAATGAGATACTGTGTGATAGGCTCTCTCACTTCCCTTCAAGACTTTCCAAGAACCCGAGGTTATGGCAAGGTCAGGTTATGGTCACGACCTACAAGTGTTTCAGGAGACCTAGCCTTACTGTCACTATTTTCTTTTTCTTTTTCTTTTTTTTGATTTGTCAGTTTGACTTATTTATTTATTATTTTTTTTAAAATAAAATTTTATTTTGACATTCTTTACATAGTTAATTAGGGTAAGAAGGTTCAAGGGCTACAGGAAAGTGGATAATACTAGTAGGTTTTCCATATTGTTACCTTCATGTTTAAAGGGGGGTATGAAGGGAGAAGGCCCACCCAATTTCCCACCCTCCCCAGGTCCCGGATGTAGGGCATGCTCTGAGGTTCTTGCTCAAGTGGTTTTGATATTGCCATAGTTATGAATTGCTGTCAAACTTGCCACTCCAAGCACTATGAGGGCTTTGAAAAATCCACTGATTGACATAGTCCATCATAGCTGAGATGGTTGGTTGACCTGTTCTGTCTTCTCTCTTTTCTTCGTTAGGGTTCTGACTCCAGCTTTTAGATTAGGAAGATCTCCAAAGAAACTTCTTGTATGTGCTAACAAGTACAGGGCCTGGCACCGTCCATTGCTCCAATCAGCTGGTGGTTGCAATTGCTGGGTTGGTTCTGTTTTCACTCCCGACTTCCACTGGAACCAATGGGTGTTGCAGTCCAGCCTGGTTCTTCCCAGCACATACTTGGCCCTCACATAAACCAGTGGGAGCTGCAGCCTAGTTGGAGCGACCCACAATAACCCCCACCAGGCCCACCCCCTACCCTGGTTTGCCAGTAAGTGTAGCAGTAATCCAGTCTGTCCCACACCCCATTCCACCCCAGCCGCTATCTTAGTTTTATGTCCTCCTGTGGAACTGGTGACCCAAGAGGGATGAGCCCACTATTTCCCTCCCAGGCCTCTCCCACTCCCAGATTCCAGTTGATGCTGCATCTAAGCCCAAACAACCCTCGCCCACTTTAATTTTGTTTGCACCAGAAGGAATAATCCGCCCAGCCCGGCTTTTCCCTGATCTAGTCCACATGAGGCGGACAGGTGTGGCAGCTCTGCCTTCTCTGGTCTGCCCCTATCCCAGCCTATGCTCTCCTGCGGAAGTAGCTGTCCTGCAAAGGAACCCTCCCTTATTCCCCTGCCGGCTCTGCCCACTTCCTTTCTAGTTCTCAGGCTGGTTGGGCGCTGCGGTCCCTTCCGGTACAGGCAACCTCACCTCGGCATTCCATAATGTGCACTAGTCTTTGTTGCAACCGAACCTGGCTCGACCCACACTGGTGCCTGGGTTTGCCAGTGGATGACGTGGACAGATTCAGCCTGGTCTTGCCCCCATGTCTGCCAATTATATACCAGTGGGTAGCTTTCCATGGCGTTTTCTGGGCTGTTTCCTATCATGTTTCTTGCACTTACCTGCAGGGTCTGTGTCCTGCCAGAGGAGTTGCCCAGGCTCCTCCATCAGAACCTCTCCCAATGTCAGGTTTCACGCTTACCAGTGGGTCCATGAGCCAACCCTACTCCTGTCATAGCAGGAACTGTGGCTTTTCCTGATTGGCCTTCCACCCAATCTGGTTCTTGCTGTTGGATGTTTTGGCCCAGCCATGGTTCGTCCATACCCACATACGGCTCATACATGGCTCAGTACGGGTTTAAGACCCTGCCTAGTCCATCCCACATCTGCCCTAGTCCTCCAGAACACCAGGGGGAGTCAGGGTCTGGCCCGGTCCGGTGCATCCAATCCCAGTCCACACTTGTGCCAAGGGAGACTACAACTGTTTCCAGATCAGAACACAGCCCCCCTTCCAAGCCACGCGCCTCTTGGTGGGAAACTCAGCCCAGCTAGGGTTGTCCCCTTTGCTCCCCAACTGGGTCTGTTCCCAGCCATAGATCACATGCCTGCCAATGGATGCTCTGACTCAGCTTGGCACAGCCCCTCCCCTGTCCCAAACGCTGCCTTAGACACTATGGCTTAGCGTCCCTGGCTCCCACAGACCAGTAGGTACAAGAGCCTAGCTCGGCATGACCTCTGCTCCCTCCTGGTTTCTAATTCTACTTGTGGGCTAAGGTTTGCTCAGTCATGCCTGATTTACTCTGTTGCATTACCAGTTGACACATTAGCCAGCTGTTGGAGCTACTTTTGCAGGACAAGCCCCAAGCCATAGCTTCTGCATGACTGGTATTTGGTGCTCAGCATTATTAGTGATTAAACGTTTTGCAAAGGAAGAGTTACTGCCTGTTTCAGGTCCAAGAAGCACAATGGGTTCAACCTGGAGCTAATTAAGCAGCAACTCAAAGAACCAAATTCCCAGAGCTCCCCGGCCGGGTGGCTGGCAGGCGGAGCCTGGCCCCAAATGGTGCACTGGCTGCCAGGGAACAGCAAACCCTGTGCACATGGCAGCTGTCTGGGATCCAGGCATGAGATGCCCCATCCTGAGACCCACCAGCTGCCAGGAGGCTGCTGGAGGTTTAAATAACCCAGGCCCAAGGTCGCGCCCCTCCCAAATCCCATTCACCACCCCATGAAGGCAGCGGGTGGGTCCCGGACCTGCCCAGTCCCAGAGGCCTCCCCCCTCAGTCTACTCACCCCGAAGGAAGCAGCCCCTGGAATCCAGCAGGCCCGGGAAACAGCTCAGTACGTGCACATGGCAGCTGTCCAGGATCCAGGCATGAGACGCCCCGTCCTGAGACCCACCCTACTGTCACTATTTTCTAAGGTCCGGGCTGTCACATTATTAACATGATTTCTTATCAGACATAAAATTTTATAAAAACAACATTATTGGCCCCGGCACTGTGGCCTAGTGGCTAAAGTCCTTGCCTTGAACACTCAGGATTCCATATGGCCGCCAGTTCTAATGCCAGCAGCTCTGCTTCCCACCCAGCTCCCTGCTTGTGGCCTGGGAAGGCAGTCGAAGATGGCCCAAAGTTTTGGGACCCTGCACCTGTGTGGGAGACCTAGAAGAAACTCCTGGATCCTAGCTTCAGATCGCCATAGCATCGGCCATTGCGCTTACTTGGGGAGTGAATCATCGGACGGAGGATCTTCCTCTCTGTTTCTCCTCCTCTCTGCATACCTGACTTTCCAATGAAAATGAATAAATCTTAAAAATAAAAAAAGACATTATTCAAAGTCACTTGGGGCCAGTACCATGGCATAAGGGGCCATCAGCTAAGCCTTCACCTGTAGCACCTGTGACCCATACAGGTGTCAGTTTGAATCCTGGCTGTTCCACTTCCCAACCATCTCCCTGCCTATGACCTGTGGAAACAGTGGAGGATGCTGCAAAGCCCTGGGGCCCTGCGTCCTCGTGGGAGACCTAGAAGCTCCTAGCTTCACACCAATGCAGCTCCAGCAGTTGCTGCCATATGGGGAGTGAACCAGCAGATGCAAGCTCTCTCTCTCCTTCTGTCTGTAAGTCTTCCTTTCCAACAACAACAAAAAATTCATCTTTAAAAAATAGTGGACAACTTCAAAAATGTATGCTCATTGTAGAATGTTGATTATTCACCAGGGAACTTCAGCAGTTACTAAAATTGCAGCTGTTAACACACATTATTAGGTTCCTAGCTTACAAACATTTTGTATATAGCATACATAAAAAACATTCTGTTTCTGTTAAAACTACTTTGATCTGAGTGTATGATTTGGGAAGCATATATCCTAAAACACCTCGCTGTTATGATATTGTGACATTATTACTTTATCTTTATGCGTGCTCTTTTTCTAGGTCAAAGAGCAAGTAAGAATTACTTGTAGGGTAAATTAAATTATGGGCCGAGAAGAACCAACCCTTGTTCCAACTTGAACCAATAAGACGAGTGACTGACAAAACGCGCAGGCGCCAAGCTCCAAGTGTCGCGCGTGCGCACCAGGAGGTCACTCAGGCACTGCCGAAGCCACCTCAGGCAGCGCGGGGTCCTGGCGGCGGGGGCGGAGCCTCGCCAGCCCGGAAGAGAAGCCGCGCCGCGCATGCCCCTTCCTTTCCAGCGTCGCCCTCGAGCCCAGCAGCCGCCGCGGTGAGTGCTTCTGGTCTTGGCCTTCCATCGGCGCCCATCCGGGCCGTCCGGCCGCCGTGGCGGCCCGGCTCCTGCAGGCCCGGGAGGGGGGCCCTCTTGCGGCCCCTCCGTGTCTGTATTTTTGAGTCGCGGGAGGGTCTGGGGGCGCCTTTCCCCGGGCAGAGTGGGGCGGCGGGAGGGCGAAGGTTGACATCCGGTGGACGGGAGGGGAGGTGAGTCCGCGCCGAAGGCGGCCTGGGGGCGAAGGCCTGAGCCCTGGCTGCGTGTCGGGAAGCAGCGGCGGTGGTCTCCGGGCCCGAGGGTGCTGCGAGGTGCGGAGGGTGAGGGTGTCACTGCACGGTCCCTGCAAGGTGCAGACTGAGTGAGGGTGCAGCCGCGCGGTCCCTCGGGGTGCGGAGCCGAGTCCCCCAGCCCTGCAGGGACCCTCCTCCCCGGCCCTTGACCCAGCCTTTCCTCGTTCGCAGATGCTGATGCCCAAGAAGAACCGGATTGCCATCTACGAACTCCTCTTCAAGGAGGGAGTGATGGTGGCCAAGAAGGACGTCCACATGCCCAAGCACCCGGAGCTGGCGGACAAGAACGTGCCCAACCTGCACGTCATGAAGGCCATGCAGGTGCGCGAGGGAGGGCTGTGCGGCCTGCCCCGTCCGGCCCCGCGCTCCCGGCCAGCTGCTAACCGTGCTTCTCCTGCCTTGCAGTCCCTCAAGTCCCGAGGCTACGTGAAGGAGCAGTTCGCCTGGAGACATTTCTACTGGTACCTTACCAACGAGGGCATCCAGTACCTCCGCGATTACCTGCACCTGCCCCCCGAGATCGTGCCCGCCACCCTGCGCCGCAGCCGCCCCGAGACCGGCAGGCCTCGACCCAAAGGTGGGTGTGCACGTCGGGGCCAGAGGGGAACTGGTCAGGCTCCAACCCCCTGGCATGGGACTGCAGAGACAGGACTCCGAGCTTGACTGCCTGCTCCAGCGTTGGTGTCCTGGAGCGTTGAGTAACTATCATAGAGTCACAAGAGAAGGAGCCTGTGCTTGTCTTGAAGTCCAGAGCAAAGCTAGTCGTGGTTTGTGGGACCAAGCACTGTTGTGTGCTCATTGGCAGTGGGAGCAAAGATGATGGTGTTGGACGAAGGACAGATGTTTATGTCAGGGTGGGTGTACAGGGTGGGGACTTGTCTTCTGACGCCTGAGGTCACTGCTGGCTCACAGCTGCCTCTTGGCAAGGGGGTGGCTCCTCACACGTGATTGTGAAGGTTGGGGGGGGTGAGAGGCCTTCCTGGGAGGGTGGAAGCTCCCTGAGGGAGTCTGGCCATCGGGTGGGATCCAGATCTGGAGCAGCGATTCTGCCTCTGCTTGAATTGATCTGGCTGGGACTCGGGGCTCCTGTTTTTAAGCATGAACAGATTCCCAGTAAATTCTAGGTTAGTTACGTGCTAGCGTTTTTAGCAGGTGAGTTAGTACTTGTCAGCTTTATATTTTTAAGCTGTTGCGTCAGGCAGTTGGCCTAGTATATCAAAGCACAGTTCTGCGGCTGGATTCAACTGAGGAATAAAACTCTGGGGAGGGCTTGCTCCTGCTGCGGGCGTGTGCAGTGCTTTGGTCATTGTTTACTAAGCATAAAGTGAAAATGGGTGTTAAGGTTGTCCTGGTATTACAGTTGATCTAGGAGTGGTTTAGGTATAGGATGATGTGTTTGGCTTGTAAGCATATACTGTTCTGTTTTCTGTGTCGAGATCTGTGGAAAGGCGCTCTGCTGGATCCCACAGCCTGGCGGGGGGTATGGAGAAGATAGAAACTAAAGGACTCTTGATCTTGTAGATGGCTTGTAGATACCTAAAGGTTTTAGTGGGCCCAACAGGCTGAGAATGTCAGTGCACATGTTCTGGGCCTTAAGAGGTGGAGTTGCAGATTGTCCTGTGTTCACCGTGTGGTTTGCCTTGTAGGCCTGGAGGGGGAGCGACCTGCAAGGCTCACGCGAGGAGAAGCCGACAGAGACACTTACAGACGGAGTGCTGTGCCCCGTGAGTAATGCGTCGGCCCTGTAGGGATGACAGGGTGACCAAGAGAGGTGAATGTCTTCAGTCTGAATCAGCAGCCCTTACACAGTGACAGGGCAAGTGCTGATTAGGAGCTGAATACACAGGAGACTTCAGTTGATCTTTGATTTGTGGAGCAAAACCTCATGAGCTTTTGAGGGCAGGACTGCTCGCACCTCAACCTTTGTTGTTAGTGCAAAGCCATTACGGGTTATTTTTTTTCTTTAATTAGAAAGTAAGATCTACAGAGAGGAAGACAGATCTTCTGTCCATAGTTTCACTCCCCAAATGGCCACAGCGGCAGGAGCTGAGCTGATAGGAGCTTCTTTCAGGTCTCACGTGCAGGTGTAGGATCCCAAGGTTTTAGACCATTCTGTTTTGCTTTCCCATTCCACTGGATGGGATGTGGAGCAGCTGGAACATGGGTGGGCACTCATGGGATCCTGGTGCAAGGGGAGGATTTGAAAGATCCTGTTGTGGTTCACTCCCCAAGTAGCTGCAATGGCCAGAGCTGAGCCAATCTGAAGCCGGGAGTCTTCCCTGGTCTCCCATGCAGGTGCAGAGTCCCACGGTTAAGTGGCTGGAGCTGAGCCAGTCTGAAGTCAGGAGCTGGGTACAGGGAGTTGAGATGTGTATACAGGAGTGCTGCAGTTAAAGGCTTAGCTTACTAGACCACCACACTGCCCACCCGCAGCCCCTGAACCCATTGAACAAAAAAATCTGTCATGTGGTGGGTGCTGTGGAGGGAAGACTAAAGCCTAGGGACGCAGAAGTGAGGGAGCCCCTGTGGCTGTGGGGGAGGGGTGCTGTACGCAGAGCCTTATCTTGAGGACAGTGGCCTGGTGGGAGACTGAATGTTAGCCTGGTAAGGTTTACTCTTGTTTGAGTTACTCTGTAAAGCCGTTAGTTGTGACAAATAGGACATAAATGAAGTTTTTACTAATTGTAGCAGTCTGACCTGTGTTTACCACTGGGCCTGCACACTGCAGGGCAGCCATTGGAATGCAACCCTTCAGCTCTCCCGCTGGCAGTGCCCCCTGTGGGGAGGACACTAGGAGCTGTTCAAAGCATCTGAGTCACCAGGAGTGAGCGTGGCAGCCAAGGGCCTGTGGCAGACACAGTCGGGAGAAAAACTCGAGGCCTAGAGACGGCCCTTCCATCTCCCAGGCCTCCCATGGGACTGTCTCCTGCTGCTTTGCTGGGAGGTTAACAGGCTCAGTAGGGCAGTGATGGGAGGTGTGATGGGAGGTGTGAGGGTCCTCAGGGACCACCGAGGGAGCCAGTTGAGGTTTTCACAACTATGACTGTATGGTAGCCAGACTTCTACCTCCTTCAACCCAATTCCCCCCTCCCTTTTTTTGGTTCATTCTTATTTTGCAAAATCACAATTTTAATCCATCCTGTAATCACAGGCTTAATGCACCACTAACCATAATGTTCCACTAGTAAAAAATAGAAAGGCCAGTTTCATGGGTGTGGAATAAGGCACTACAAACAATCAAGTCACGTGGTATCCATTTTGTTCCTGTATTTTCTTGTATTCTGTGATAATACTGTGCATCAGAGAATGTGAGATTTGTCCTGGGGATTGGCTATTACATAATAATTTCCAGTTGCATCCATTCTGAATACTCTTATGTTGTTCTTTACAGCTGGTGCTGACAAGAAAGCCGAGGCCGGGGCTGGGTCAGCAACTGAGTTCCAGTTTGTGAGTATCCCCCATTTCCCTTCCACCTGCTGGTGTTTGTGTAGCTCAGCCTGGTGGCTGTGCAAGTTCTGGGGATGTGGGTCTTGTCCCCTCTCATTTTTTCCCTAGATAACCTCCAGTTCTCAATTTTACATTGATGCAGTATGACTGTAAAATTACATTTCAGTAATCCATTTCAGGATGTTACACATCAGTACATGTGAAACACTGGTTTTCTTTGCTGAATTAACATGGGCCATAGTTGATTGAATTGGTTTTGGTGAATCCTGGCATTGAACTAAATGCTGTAAGAAGGGTGGGCTCTAAGATCAAAGCGGCCATAGTCTCAGAAATGCTAGGATCATGGCCAGGCCCAGTGTAGGTTGGCACAGCTTATGGAGGTGAGCCGTGAGTTTAATCTGGGTCCCGTGCTCACAAGGGGAGCTGGCGTGCCATTGTGGGACATTTGTGGTAGATCTTGATGGCACACAATCAGTCAGAGTCCTCACCTGTCAGCTTGGAGGTGTGACTATGGTGAAAACAGGGGCTGCTCTTGTACCAGCTGCATCCCTGTATACTCCAGGTGGCTGTGATTCCCACATGAGCAGTGCGGGGAGCCTCGCTGTGGAATGTGACCGAAGGGCCAGGCTCAGGCTGATGGCCTGCACTCTGCTAGCTGTGATGTTTAGGGGTTCTCTGCAACAGAGCTACAATGTTAAAGCTGTGGAAGAGGTGGAGTTGGGTATGATGCTAATGCTGATGCTTTTTCTCTTGCAGAGAGGTGGATTTGGTCGTGGACGTGGGCAGCCACCTCAGTAAACATGGAGATTATTTTGTGTTAAATAAACCTCTAGCCACAAGCACTGCTTTGTGTCTTTATTGTGTAGCTGACTGCTATACTTGTTGCTGTATTTGGCATTGTTCCTCAGCCCTATCTCGCACCTTCCAGCAGGGTGCTGTCCCTGGTGATATTGCACGCAAGCTGGGCAGCTGCTCCAGGCCAGCCATGCCGAGCACCATGGCAGAGATGTAGCTTTCTTGGGCTCTTTCCCGTGATTTACTAAACATTGGGTAACTGGAGGTGCTGCCTTGCCAGGGCTCTACAAGGTGGAGGACACATGGTTATGTGAGCCCTGGCATGGCAGCACCTGTTTGGATTTTTCTTTGCTCAGCGAGATCCTGGTACACAGGTGCTGCTGAGTGGATTGGGGGTTTTAAAGGGCATTTGGAGCACTAGGCATGCATGTTGGAGTGAACCAGAACACAGCTACCAAGGTTTGGTGTTCCGTGGTGCCAGAGGGGCTTAGGAATCGATTAGAAGGTGTATGGAGATAAGCTTTGACTTAGGAGTCAAACCTTACATATATACAGGTGAGTTTTATGCTGATTGACTTTTTGGATGATTACAGATGAAGATCTTGCATCCAGTGATTCAATCCCCAAGTGTCCATAATGGCTGGAGCTGAGCCAATCCAAAGCCCGGATCCTTTTCCAGGTCTCCCACGTGATACAGGCTCCCAAGGCCTTGGGCCATCCTCGACTGCTTTCCCAGGCCACAAGCAGGGAGCTGGATGGGAATTGAAGTTACCTGGACATGAGCTGGCACCCAGATAAGGGTTGCCTGGCCCAGCTACCCTCCTCTCGATAGTTCTGTCTTGAGCCACGAGGTGGCAGCTAGTAGCTGCTGGTGTGCGGTGGGAGCAGTGCTTTGGAATCTACCACTACACAGATGCTTGCTTTGGCAGAAAAGGCAGGGTTGGCAGGGTCCCAGTTCAGCACTGCCTTGGCTGCCCTGACAAAGATCACTTTTTATCCAATTTCTCTGCTGGCTCTGGTGATGTCAAGTGGCTTGCCATGTTCACACGCCTTGTGATTGTTTAACCTGGATTTCACAGAAACATGAGCAGCTCCCGGCCTTTCCGTCTCACCAAGGCCAGCAAACAGACAGGTTTCCTCTACAGCCTTGCAGAGTTACTGGGCCTAAATCACTGGTTTTCATCCAGGGCTCTTTGCCAGCCCCTTGTGATTTGAACCATGGGCTCTGGGGACGCCAAAAAGTATGCAAGGTAGTTAGAGCATGTTAAAGATGTGCCAGTGGGAGGCCAGGATGGCGCCTCTGGCTTTAGCTTTGGCCTATCCCTGGCCAGATAGTGAACAAACACGATTCTTATGCACACAAACATGTATATCAGTTGGAGTTCCAGCTGCTCCACTTCTGATCCTGCTCCTTGCTAACACGTAGGAAAGCAATGGTGGGAGACCCAGAAGCAACTCCTAGATTTTGGTTTCAGTTAGGCCTATCCCTGGTCATTATAGCCATAAGGAGAGTGAACCTGCACATGGAAGGCCTGTCTCCCTCTAAGAGCCTTTAAAATCTTCAAAACAAAAACTTCAAAGTTTGCAAACAGTATCTAGGTGAGTATTGCCACACCAGGAATTCGGATGCTTGGTGAACAGCTTAAACCCCTGCTGCAGAACCTCCTGTGTGGAATTGGGTTTGCCCAGTGGCCACACTGGACGCTCACGGGTAAACCATTCAGTCCGCAGTGAGTACAATGCACACTGAGCCTGCCAGCGGGAAAGGGAGGGGGCAAATCCATCATTTGATTGCTCAGTTTGAGAAAGGGAAACTAGGACAGAATGAGGGCATGGGGGGTGGGGGAATGAAAAGAATTGTTTAAAAAGTTAAAGCACATAGAAAGCCTAGAGCCCATTTCTATTTAAAAGTGCTTTATTGGAAGCCCGTGATACATGCATGGCACAAGTCCAAGAGAACAGCCACTTGACAAATAAGCCCTGCATGGTGTACAGACACATCAAAGGGAGCATTGTGAGGAAAAGGGCATCTTTAGAAATGCATAAATATTAAATGGGAGGACACCCGAGCGGAAGAAATTTAGGAGGCCTCAAAATGGGGCAAAATTGAGAACCACAAACCCAGTAGTAGTAAGAAGTTCTGAAGAGCGCCTGAAAGAAATACCAAAGAAAGAAGTGCACACCAAGGTCAGTTTGAGAATCTCGGCATCAGTTCATTAATGTGAAGTAATCGGGGTGGGGAGGTGAATAGCAGCCTTACGAATGTTACACATAGGTTTCCCTTTCCATTAAAATATATCTTTAGGGCCTGGCGCGATAGTGTAATGGTTAAGGTCCTTGCGTTAAACATGCTGGGATCCCATATGGGCACCGGTTCTAATCCCAGCAGCTCCACTTCCCATTCAGCTCCCTGCTTGTGGCCTGAGAAAGCAGTCAAGGACGGCCCAAAGCCTTGGGACCTTGCACCCACTTGGAAGACCCAGAAAGAAGTTCCTGGCTCCTGGCTTCGGATCGGCGCAGCACTGGCTGTTGCAGCCACCTGGGGAGTGAATCATCGGACAGAGGATCTTCCTCTCTGTCTCCTCCTCTCTGTACATCTGCCTTTTCAATACAATAAATAAACCTGTAAAAAACATGTATCTATGTCTTTAAAAATGAGTTACTTTGTTTATTAGAAAGGCAGAAAGATGGAGGGCAGAGATCTTCCATCCACTGGTTCACTCCACAAACGGCCAAGCCAATCCAGGGGCCAGGAGCTTCACTCAAGTCTTCTAATGTGGGTGCAGGGACCCAAGCACTTAGGCCAAATTCTGCTTTCCCAGACAGGCAAGCAGGGAGCTAGGTCAGAAATGGAGCAGCTGAGATTTGCCCATAGAGAATACTGCAGGCAGAAGAGGTTTAACCTACTACACCATGGCACCAACCCCTAAAATGATTCTTAAAGGGCCTGGCATTATGGTGAGGTGGACTAAGGTATTGATTGTGACGGTAGCATGCTGTATCAGACCAGTGCTCTCTTTTGTTTGTTTTTAAAATTTATTTTATTTTTATTGGAAAGTCAGAGAAACAGACAGGAAGATCTTTCATCTGATGATTCACTCCCCAAGTGGGTGCAATGGCCAGAGCTGTGCTGATCCAAAGCCAGGAGCTCTTCTGGGTCTCCCACACAGGTGCAGGATCCCAAGGCTTAGGGCTGTCCTTGACTACTTCCCCAGGCCACAAGCAATAAGCTGGATGGGAAGTGAGGCTGCTGGGAATAGAACTGGTGCCCATGTGGGATCCCAGTGTGTGCAAGGCAAGGAAGGACTTTAGCCACTCAGCTGCCATGCCAGGCCCACTGCTCTGTTTTAGATCCCATTTCCTACTGGAATGACATGTTTGGGCCCTGTCACCCACATGAGAGACCAACCAGAGTGGAGTTGCTAGCTCTTGGGTTTGACCTGGTCCAGACCTTGCAAGCCTGGCGGTGGTTAACCAACAGATGAAAAATCTTGTCTTCTTTTTCTGTTGGCTTGAAAAAAAAAAAAGTTTTAGAATGGGAAAGTTCAAACATAAAATGAAATAAGCATATGAATAAAAATCAGCACCTGGCCCAGTTGGGACCCAGCGCACATGTGGGAAACCCAGAAGAAGCACCTGGCTTAAGATTGGTTCAGCTCCAGCTGTGGCAGTCAATTGTGGAGTGAACCAGCAGATGGAAGATCTTTCTCTGTATTTCTGTATATCTGCCTTTCCAATAAAAATAAATAAGCCTTTTTAAAAAAATCACAGCATCTAAGTGCGCTTACGGTATGGCTCAACAGGTTAATCTGCCTGCATATGGACAACAGTTCTAGTCCTGGCTGCTCCAGTTCCCTTCCAGCTTACTGCATACAGCCTTAGAAAGCGTGGAGGATGGCCCAGTCCTTGGGGCCCTGCACCACCATGGGACCCAGAAGAAGCTCCTGCCTTCAGATTGGCTCAGCTTCATCACTTTGTGGCCATTTGGAATGAACCTGTAGATGGAGGGTCTTTCTCTGTCCTCTCTGTACATCTGCCTTTTCAATTAGAAATAAATAAATAATTTACCACAATGTCACCACCCTTGTGAGGGTCAACAATTATCCACATTCTCAATTCTTGCTACATTGAGACCTCTGCCTGCTCTCTTCAGCAGCGCAATTACAATTGGTAAAGCTACACTTCTAAATGTATAATTCTGAATTTTGGTAAACAGATTAGACATTTTTTTAAGTTTATGAAAATGGAATCAAAAGTTAAACTTAGAGGGTGGTATTTTAGCAGAGCAAATAAGACACAGCTTGGGGTGCTTGGTATTTTGGCAGAGCAAATAAGACCCATCCTGGAATGCCTGGGCTGAAATCCCACCTCTCCTCCTGATTATTGCTGCTAATGCACACCCTGGGAGGCAGCAAGTCATGGCTCAAGTGCTGAGGGTCCTGCTACCCACGTGGGAGAGGTGGACTGCATTCTGGGTGCCTGGCTTTGGCCTGGCACCCTTGGCATTAAAGCATTGAACCAGCAGATGGGAGATCTGGTCTCTCTCTCTCTGCCTCTCAAACAAATGAAGCTTTAAAAAATGAGTAATATTGGGAAGCAGAAGAGGTCTGAAGCCCCAGTTTGGCCTTGTGTTCCGCCATAGAGGATGCCTGATTTGAGAGAGTGATAGAACACCTGGGCCCTCTCCTACCAACAGAACCGGGCCAACAGATGCCTGCGATCGCAGGAGGGAGAAAGCACAACGCCTCCCCTAAAAAACAACTGCAGGCAGAGCCGGCAGTGCACAGGGTCCCCAAAGGACGGTCCTGGTTGTGTAGCCCTCCCAGGCCATAGTGCAGGCCAGGGGCATCCCCAGGTGAGAGTAGCACGAGTCCTCTGCACTGGAGCCAGGTCGATGTGGGTTCAGGGAGAAAGCATGCTGCCTGCCCCGCGCCCTGGTTGCACCCTGAGCGGCCTCAGTTGCAACAAGAAGTGCAGCGCTGACCAAGGTGGCAGCTGGAGCTGTTGCTGAAGTCTCCTGACCCAAACTGGGTTCTCCTTAGCA